TCAGAATGTTTCCAGTCTTAGGCTTGTGCACTTGTTATTTCACACACTGAGAACATCTGTAGGATCAATTCCTAGAAATGGAACTATGCTGGGTCAAAGGGCATGTACATTTGTAATTCTGCTAGACCAAAGGGCAATGTATGTGTGTGCTGGTTTCCTCAACCCTTGCCAACCTAGGTGTTATCAAATTGATATCAAACCAATTTTATCCTCCAATACAAACTCTCAATTCACATTAGGTTAGTTTCATCACTGCCCTCAAGCTAATCAGGCTCGTTTGACAAGTATTTATGAAGTACCCACTCTGTGAAAGGGGAACAGGTTCCAGAACCTAGAGAACAAGACACATGAATGAGATGAACAAGAACTCCTGAAATTCAGCAGAGGGAGAGATGGATTCCAGCTTGGGTTAACTCTCCCTAGAGGACTGGAAATACAACCTACACCCTGATGGGCAGACAGGAAGGAGTTACTGGGACAGAAAAGTACAGGGCCTGCTCAGTGGCACTCCTTCCTCTTTTGAGGAAGATAATGCTCAAGTGGCAGCTTGACGACTGACAATACAGTGGCTTGGTTTGGAAGAAATCAAGAGTCAGTGGAAAGAACACTGCATTGAGAAAATTTCCATTTCTGGCATTAGCTAAGTGATCGTGAGAAACACTAGTTTATCTGGGCTTCACTTTCCTCACCTGCAAAACAGGGAAATTAACCCTGAAACCAAACTTTCTGTAGCTGCAAAACTGCGTGTTCCAAGTGACTCTTATGACGAAGACTATACGATGAAGGAGGGCAGCAGACAGCAGGTCAGTCTGTGTTCTACTTACTTCATCCTGACAACCTCCAGGAGGCTCCAAAAAACCCTTAGGGTGTGCAAAGCAGTTTGAAAGCAATGACACCTAGGCAGCTAAGGTCACTTTCATCTCTATAACCTGCTCCAATTTTTTCCTCACTGCTAGAGAATGCGTCTGTACCTACACTTCTATATGACCTGCATACAATTTATTCATTAATTTAACATGCACTTACTAAGTACCTACTATATGCCAGGCACTGCTCTAGGAGCTGGTGAGACAATGGTTAACAGTACAGAGATTCTTCCCTTTGAGGTTTAATTTCTATTTGGGAAGGAGACAGAAAAATGTATAAACAACTGTATAGTGTGTCAGAGCACTAACGGTAAGAGGAAAAGGTGTAACGCAGGTGGGGTGGACTGCTCCACCCATCGATATCCGCCTCACCATCCTTCCTGTTACAGCTCTTCCATGCAGCCTTTTCCAATTTGTGTCCTCACAGATCATTTGTTCTCTGAACTCCTGCAGCACTTTGGACTATGCAAAAGTCTCTGTCATTTGTTAACGATTTCACTGTATTGGCCTTATATCATCCAGACTGTCAGCCTCTTGAGCAGTACCGTATCACATCTTGGATAGCTACCAGTGCTAAACTAGCCATACAGACGCAGCAGGCACTCAATACCTGAAGACCACTATGACAACACTGCCATTTTAACAACTGCAAATGTGCCCTTCAAGTTTTCTTCTTTAGCCCAACACTGTGGACTAAAATTTTCGAATGAAATTACACAGAACAGAATCAAATGAATGAACTAACTCAACAGAAACTAAATCAGACTTGGTAAAAAAGTAAGAATGGCCTGGTGGCCAGGTGTTTGCAACAGAAGTTAATCCTAAGGCAAACGTTAACTCTCAAGGCCAAGTCGGTGGGGTAAAATTCAAAGGGAAAGAGTATCAGGGTGACAGTCTGTGCCAGGACAGTGGACACACGAAGGCCTGAGGAAGGGTAGCCCCAGAGTCCCTGCCCCACGAGGTCTCCCTCTCACCTCCTCAGTGGAATGGGGGCCTGGTTCCCTGGGACACCCTGCTCTCAGTCTCTCCTTCTACCACCCTCCCCAGACTTCACACACCCAGGCAGCTCAATGCTCTATCACTGCCAGGCTTAAAAATCCACAAGGGCACCCTCACCTCCCACCATGCACAGGTCCCCTCCTTCCCCTCCCCATTTTTACAGCAGAAAAATGTGTGCATCAGAGTTCCTTTTTTAAAGTCAAAGGTCTGAGAATCCCTATAAAAGTTAAAAGGTACTATGAAATCAATAACCTTTACAATAGATTTATATTTTAATAAACTCTAAAATGTAACTTGGAAAACAGGAGGTATGAACACTGAAAAACAAAACCAAACATGTATATGTGAACATTTATTCACTCTCCAAACAAAGCCTGGTATGAATGTAGATCGGCAGAGCTCCTGTGCTAACTGGAGTTAATAATAATAACGGCTAACATCTACTGAGCTAGGCACTGCTCTAAGCTCTTCCATGAATTAACTCATTTAATCCTATGAGATGCTAAGTACAAGAGAAAACGGGCACAGAGAAGTTAAGTAGCTTGTCTGAGTTACACAGCCAGCAGGTAGCAAAGCCAGAATTCAAATCTGAGGCAAGATTAGTTTTAGAATGTAACACAGCTCCATGGTCTCACGCTGCAGACCTTCCTCCTTTGGGCCAATCCATTCTCTCTCTCACTACCTACTCACTCCAAATGTCGTCCCACACAGAGAACCACCTACTCAGCCCTTGCACACACCATGTCTTCCACACGCAGCACCTGTCTAAAGTGCTGTCATCATGCATCCTTGGGGCCAGCAGTGCCTGTTCTCTTGAAGGCCAGCTGGGGTGGCCGGCCCGGGAACCAGGGACTCTGAGGCTCTCCCACCATCTGCCTCACACTGTTCTTTCCACTGGCGTTCATGCCTGCAAACATTCGCTGAGTGCCCATTTTAGTCTAACGGCAGGAAGAAAGAATTACTTTTATGCCCCCAGCAAAACCAAAGGTGTCTTGTCCTCTGCTACTGAGCAACATGGCTTGCAAACCTATGAGCCAAAAGACTGGGTCAGTGGAACCATGCTGTTTGGCCAGCACAGCATTTCGACACGCTGATAACATAATCTGAATGTCTTCTGGCTGGGCACCTGATCCAGTGTCCCGTACTCCTGCTTGGCTACTGTCTTGTGACCTGCTGCTTCCGGCATGTAAGCTATCTGCCTGACCTAGACACTAGCTGAATAACTCATTACTCACTCCCAATTATTTTTCTTCCTATCATCATTCTTTCACATACTGCAAATCATGACTAGAAAAGAGACCAAAAGAAATTAAAAGGAAAAAACAGACATATCATTGGAATATTATGTTTTTTTAAATAAAGCATACATTCACTTCTTAGAATAAAAAAACTTCCTATATAATTTCAAAGGTGGAACTATCCCTAAAATTGGAATAACGTGAAATCACAGCACAACTAAAATTAAAGATTTTCTAGAACAAGGGTTCCTTATCAGTTAGAAAGAACACAAAGACAGAGCCCCTGGCTGCCCAGGGAGATATTTGAGCCAGCGACTGACACAGTACTCACACTTCTAAGCAAGAAAGGGGCTCTGGCAGACTGGTCACTGTTGGCAGTGCAACCCCTAATGATTTCTGAGAAAAGGTCAGAGACCTATATTTTAGAAGATTTACCTTTAAATTTCAAAAGCAAAACCAGATATTTAGTGTTTGAGAGTTATTTCTGTTGAGCTTACAACACTGCTCAAGTTCAAGGAATAAAAGCCAAAAATAGAAATGGAAGGGAACGCTAAGTGAACATGCTGTGCTTGGCCACGATTGAACCAAGACGGTGCCCCTCTAATTCCAAAGTGTTTGCTCTTCACACCAGCAGGAACAAGATCAATGGTTGTCTTAACACGTAAAAGTCGAGTTATACCCTATAAACCAAAGCAGCACACAGCATATCATAAAGAACTGAGTATTATTTATGAATGGCTACAAAATAAGACAGGAAAAACAAAAGTAGTAACCATCTCTACTTTTGTGGGGGAAAAACTTTAAGCCAAAAGCCTGGACTACAAATATTTGCATCCAACAAGGAAAAGATTAGTCTGAAGGACTAATTGTCCACAGCTACCAAGGCCTCCACCGGACTGAGTCCAGTGCAGCTAGATGGTGCCCGGCTACCACCACTGACTGCTCTGACCAGGATCACAACAGAG